TTTTCCAGGGCTTCCCTCCATGATTTCTAAGCAGCAAAGCTTGCAGCAGGCTGGACACACGTGTGGCTCTGCCAAGGACAGGGTTTTTTCCAGTGAGGATACTTGCAAGTCACAGGGAGAATCACAAGGAGCAGAGCCGGGGATGGGCTGCTGCAGAACAGGATCTCTGCACTGGCCAAAGGCACGTGGGAAGGTCACATGCTCAGAACAACAGAAAAAAACCCAGATTTTATGGGAAGAACAATCGAAGTTTGGTGGCAAACACAGCAAAGGCAAGGAGGGTGCTGCTCTCCCTCACACACCAGGTATCCCCTGCTCTGAGTCCCTCCCAACCCACCACGTTCCTCCAGCCCGCGGTTATTTCAGTTCTTGGACTTCTCTTGGACCAGGTCACCAGATGTGGGGGAAGCTGAAATCACTCAGCAGACACTGAAATTACACAATTGGAGGTGGAGAGGCTTGGAGGCTCCTCAGGAAAAGCCACAGCCAAAATTCCCACTCCTAAACTGACCGCTCCCCCCAGCCAAACGTTTTGTCTCAGAGGGAGGAGAACAAGTGGGAGTTTATCACAGTTATCACAGCCTTGTCCACCTGCAGCTCCAGAGTCAATCTGGGGGCTTACAGAAAGGCAAACATCAATTTAGGTACGTGCAGAATCCAATCCCCTTGGAATTACAGATGACAAACCTCGTGTCATCACCAGAGCTGTGATGGTTTGAGTGTGAGCACCAGACTGGCTCCTGGGTGGTCAGACAGGGAGCTTTCCTGAACACTGGGATAAGGCAAGAGGAATTTCTAAGGAGAGAAACCTTGAAATACTCAAGCAAACCAAGCAAAACCAGCTGTGCTGAGAACAGAACCACAGCACAACAGAGACAGAGCCCTTCAAGGGCCACCAAATACAGCGTTGGAGCTGCACCTGTTCATGGACTTCCCAAGAGCACCTGAGTGACCTCTGTGCCTTTGTGGATGATTCATGAGCTCCGTGAGGTCACTGCTCCCTTCACCCACAGGCTTCTGGCAGCTGGCAAACTTCAGGCGGCAAAGGGACATGCAGGAATACCCTGCCACGTGGTCCCTGCAGCAGCAAAGGATGTAGCCTGGAGAGACCTGAGCGAGAGGAAAGATCCTGGCAGAGATAAAACCCCTGTGGTCTTTGAACCAGCAAGGTGCTCCTCAACAGGGAGCAGAAAGCAAGAGACTATCTGGCTGTTTTCACCTCTCCAGAATTGCTGCCTTTGTATCACGGCAGTTGGGCTAAATAAATGCAGCCTGGCAGAGATGAGCACATTCCCTATGGGATTTGAGGAGGGATGCTCCGCTCCAGCACTCCCCGCTCCTCTCCAGGACAGTGGGCACTAAGCCATCCCCAAATCCACCCTCTCTCAGCAGGCAGAAGCAGAGATGTCACCAGGCAGAGCTCAGCAGCATGGGAGACTGCAAAGGCATTTCAAAGGTACAGGCAGCAAAGGCTCAGCATTGACTCACTGTGAGGGCAGTGGAAACCTTCCCAAAGCCATGCAGAGCCAGAGCTTTTGGCAAGAACTCCTGCAACATCAGCAAAAAACGCTGCTCCACCTGATTGACATGCACCAAAGATCAGCTGCTCCAGAGTTCATGGGAATGTGTGTCCTTCCAAGCCAGCAGGATGGCCTGAAAACCAGAGAGGAGCCCCAAAATCTTGGATTCTGATCTCTTTCCTGATTTTACATTCAGCTCCTGGAGTTGCCAACCGTAACACTGTTTAAGGACTTTGAATTTTCAACACCAAACCCCAGGTGGGACAGCAATGAACCTCTGCTGAACTCACTGCAATGTCCAGGGAAACCCAACAGGAGAACACAATCCACCTACCCACCAGCTGCAGGGACAGTCACCTGTGACAGCTCCTGGCTACCAGAGCTGGTTGGACAAGGATAGCTATGAAGCTGCTGGCATGTCTGGTGTGCCAAGGATCCAGCCAGGAGGCAGGTCTCATCCCGCTGCTGTCACACACAGCAGCATCTCCCAGAAGGAAAACTTTACAGCACCCAGGGAGGATAAGGAGGACAAGCTGTAGATGGGAAAATCAACACAGTGTTCCCAATTCCCTTGGATCTGTGGCTGGAATCAAAGCAGGGACCCAGCTCGTCAGTGCTGAGCTTTCCTAAACTCCCCTGAAGCCACCAAGAGCAGAAACCTCTTGAGATCTTTCCAGCTGGAAGGCCAATTTTGTCTCAATTAGGTGTTTTGCCTCTCTCTCTGCAGTGGAGGCCTGACCTCACACCTCTGAAGTCCATGGCAGAGCTACCACTGATCTCCCACTGGCAGCTGGGAACCACACAGGGAAACCCACAGGCTGGAATTACCCCCTGCCTTTTCCATCCATGCTCCATCCCTTGCATATTCCCAGGAAAATAACGACAAATAGTCCTGTTCACCGAGGTTTGAGGGATTCCCTTGGAATCAAAGCCTTTTTTTTTTTTTTGCTGTGGATTTGTACAGAATTCACCCCCTGCTTGTGCTCTGACCCCTGTAAAAATGGAAATCATGGCCAGGTACAGTCCCAGCTCAGGCACCAAAGCCTGCCCAGGGCTGTGCTGCTGCTCCTTGCCTTCCCCATCCCGGGCACGGGGAAGTTGCTGAGCACTGGGCTGGTTTGCCCTGGGTAACTCCATGAAAATAAGGCACATCCAAACCCTCTGGTCCACAGCTCACACCTGCACAGGTGGTGAAAGCAAGGAGTGAGAGCTCACACAGCAGGGAAGCTTTCGAAATCAGGGGAGAGATGCTTGGAAAACTCCTCCAAGCCCCATGACGCAATTCCAGAGCCAAGGAGTTACCCAAGAGGAGGAGGAAGGAGAGCAGGATTTCCCAGCACAAAGCCAGCTGCTCTCCTAACCTACTACTTTACTCTTCCCACTAATAGGGAAAAAGAATTATCAGGGATTTGAGGCTGGAGTTGGAGAGGGAAGTGCCAGGAAAAATTAGCAGCTCCATAGCAATTTCCCTGAGGAAGGAGAACTGCATCCCAGGGGTATAAAGGAAGCTGGAATTTCATCATGGGCTGAATTTGGCTTCACTGGGATGGCACAAATTAGTCCATCAGCCTGAATTCTCACACAGGTTCTTACACTTCCCTGAGCTTTGCTCTGAACAAGAACCGAGAGGCAGGATTGAAAAATCCCAAAATTTTCCCTGCTGAACCAAGGAAGGAGTTGGCAGGGATCTGGCAGGCCAAGGTTTGTTGGCAGAACTGGAGCTGAAGAGTCCTGTTCAATCACAATAATAACTAAAATAAACACCATGTCAACTTTTTAGCACTTCCAACAGGGATCCTCCAAGGACTGTCTGAATGCAAACAAATTATATCCAACAAATCCTGGGTGGGAAGTTGTATTCCTTATACATCCAGGGAAACTGAGGCAGGAGTGCTGTGACAGAGCTTGGAGCAGGCTGAGCATCCACTGATTTCCACATACATACAAGATTATCCTTAATTTTAGAGGATAGAAAGGTGAGAGACCAGTGGTCAGGGTCATCCATGGAAGAAAAAGGCTGGGGGAGGTTTGCACATCCATCCTACATCCCAGAGGTGATGTCCAGCCATCCCTTTTTAAAAGGACTAGGAATTCACTCATGGTGGTCTTCCTAAGACAAGTTTTCATGGATAAATCCGTGTCAGGACACACTGCAGAGCACATGAAAATCTCCTCTTCCATAAGGCAGAGGAAACCAAACAACTGGAGAAACAACAGTGAGTCCAGAATGCCTCCTTTCCCCCAAAACTTGGGATGAACACAAACATAACTCCCTTTGCCTCCTCCCCACCAGGACGGGCATCAAGGAACACTCTCGTGGTCAGAGGAGCAAGGAGAAATGAGGGGCAGGGAGGAGGAGAAGCTGAGAGAAGTAATGAGGGCACACGTGTTCAGAGCCCTCAGTCTGAGGGCACGAAGGTATGAACAACACATTCCCTGTGTCCATGGGGGGAAGGTTCCAGGTCCTGCCTCTCCGCCCTGGCTGGAGGGAGGACCTCTAGAAAGGTGGTTTTAGGCTGGACTCATTCGCATCCCCCCTGAGAACAGTCCCAGGAAAAGGGACCCCCCAGTCCTGACCACAGGAGACAGAAACCCTTTGAAAGGGGGAACTCCAGGTGGGAGAATCCCATTATATCCCACCCAGCTGAGACAGAGGGGCCTGGGTGTGATGCTTTGGCAGGGTGACCCTACCACCAGCAGAAGGGCTGCCTCCAACCTCGCATTCCCAACACAGGAGGCTCCAAGGACACCCCAAATTCGCCCAGAAGAAGCCCTAAAGGTGTCTCTGCCTCTGACACAGGCTATGCTGGGTGTCCTTGACCCCACAGTCCCTCAGTGTCCCTGTAGTGTTCCCAGCCCCCTACCTTGGGTGTGGGGGGTCCCTAAGGACAGTCCCCCAGCCCCACACCTCAGGCAGGGGGGTCCACAGGGCTGCATACCCTTTAGCTGCACAACCACGGCAGTGATGTGTGTCTGGGGAGTCCCCAGGAGTGTCCCCCAGCCCCAAAGCTCTGGCAGATGCAGTCCCCAGGGGAACCCAGGGCACAGGGGTGTCCCCAGGGCTGTCCTAGGGCTGTGTCCCCAGGCCCACAGCACAGGCAGAGGAGGGTCCCCAGGGCTGTGTGGGCCCTATTCCTGGGCAGACAGGGGTTCCCAGGGCTGTCCTAGGGCTGTCCCCACCCCCGCATCCCCCGCACAGGGGTGTCCCCAGGGCCGTCCCCAACCCCAGCACGGGGGGGTCCCCACCCCCACATCCCCAGCACAAGGGTGTCCCCAGGGCTGTCCCCAACCCCAGCACAGGGGTGTCCCCACCCCCACATCCCCAGCACAAGGGTGTCCCCAGGGCTGTCCCCAACCCCAGCACAGGGGTGTCCCCAGGGCTGTCCTACGGACGTCCCCAGTCCCGCAGCCCCAGCGGTCCCCAGGCCTAGTCCCCTCAGCGCCGGGGGTCGGAGCGTCCGCAGCCCCCGCCGCTCCCACCTTCTTGACGGAGAGGGAGATGTTCTCCAGGATGCGGTCCTTCACCTCCGCCGGCTCCATGGCGCCTCCGCCCGCCGCCGCCGCCCGCCGCGCCCGCCCGGCGCAGGCCGAGCGCCGTCCCGCCCGCCGGGCCCGCTCCGTCCTGCCGGCTCCGTCGTGCCGGCTGCCCCGGCCGGCCCCGGGCTGGCGGCTCCGCGGCGCTCAGCGCGCCATGGCCGGGCGCGGGGGCGAGCGGGCCCCGCGGCAGCGGAGCCGAGCCGAGCGCGGAGCCGCCGCCGCTCCGCCGGGAACTGAGGTCACGGGGAGGGACGGAGGGAGGGAGGGACGGAGGCAGCGAGCGGCGCTGCCGCCCCCGGGCCGGCGGCGGGACCGCCCCACCGGTGCGAGGGGACCGGCCCAGCCGAGCTCAGCCCGGCCGAGCGGAGCCCAGCATAGCCCAGCCCAGCCTAGGGAAGCTGAGCCGAGCCGAACCCGGCCGAGCCCTTGCAGGACCCAAATGGCGCCGGCGGGGCCCCTCAGGGGCGAGGGGCGATGGCGGGGGGACCCTCGCGACCCCGTGAGGAGACGGCCCGAGCCCCTCGTGAGCCACGGAGGGGATTGAGGGGGACGAGGGGAGATGGCACTGGGTCCCTGATGAGCCCCTAAGGGGACACGAGGGGAGATGGCGTGGGAGGCGGTGATTGGGATGTGAGGGGGAATGTGAGGGGAAATGGCACCGAGTCCCTCTTGAGCCAGCAACAGGGACATGAGAGGAGATGAGTGGGGACATGTTGAGGGAGATGGCGCTGGGGACAGTGAGGGGGAATGTGAGGGAAGATGGCACTGGGTCCCTCATGGCCCTGGGCTCTTTGAGGGGACATGAGAGGACGTGGTGTTGGGGACAGTGAGGGCACGGAGGGAGATGGCACCAGGTCCCAGTGAGGGGACATTAAGGGAGATGGCATTGGGGACAGTGAGGGCACATGAGGGGAGATGGCTTTGAGTCTGTCATGGCCTTGACCTCAGTGAGGGGAGATGGCATTTGGGGCCCTCATGACCCAGTGAGGGGAGATGGTGTTGGGTCCCTCACAGTCACCTGAGGGGACAGGAGGGGACAGCAGTGTTGGGTTTGGGGACACCAGGTGAGGTGGCCACCAACTACCCAGCCCTCCTAGCCAGGACCCAGCCTCTGGCTTTAGGGTGCTGGCCTCAAAGGAAAGGGAAATACTCAGTGGTGAGGGAAAAATGGGGAGTCCATGTGGTCCCCCACCACTGTGGGCTTCAGCAGTGCTTCCTCCAGTCCCCCTCCAGCACCTTGAAATAGGGGATCCAGCTCTTTGTTGGGGCCCCTATGCTGGGTGGCACCGTGGATCCAAAAATGGGCCACATAAGTGTTGCTTCAGCCAAAACTCCATCGGTGGGAAAAGCTCCTAAAACACTCAAAGTCCTACTTGCCATCACAGGACAGAGCCAGGAGTTGGTGCAAAGGCTTGACGGAAGGGGCTTAAAGAAATAAAAGATAAAATTAATAATAAACTCTCCTCCTGAGGCTGAGGTGAAGGGTTGTGACTCGGAGCTGGCTTAGTGCCTGCACCACCCGACCCTGGAACTGAAAATGGAACTGAAAGTAAAAGCAATTAAAAAAGGAAAAGCCAGCAGTTCCCCAGGAGCACATTCCCTGCCATTCCCACCCCTTCCTCCATAAATAACCTGCTGGCAGGGAAGGAAAGGGCTGAGCAAGGACTTGGATGAAGAAACCACACCAGGCCAAACCTGCTCTTTCCCTGCAGGAACAGCCCAGCCAGTTTAACAGCTTTGGAAACCATGGGAGAAGCTCCCAGGGAAGGGGAGAGAGTGCAGCTCTTTAGTGCTTGGGTTAGAAGTGACCCAAACCAGAAAACTCTTATTTTTCCAGCTCCCCACCAACCTCTAGAGAAGAAGAAACATTTTAAGTGAGATCCCAAGGATCAGAGCTTGTCTCAGCACCTGGGAGGAAGGTGACTCTCTCCTGCTGAATCCTGCTGGGGGAATTTGAGGGAAAGCACCCCCCTAAAACCCCTACACAGCTACTCCATAGCAGTCCTGAGCATGGAACATCCAGGCCTGGTCTCCAACAAGTCAGTGGAGAGACTAAAGTCAGCTCCTTTCAAAGCAGCCCAACAGATCCCACACACTGTTTTATTCTTTGCTGGTGAATTTTAGGATTTAAAGCATAAAGTCCAAGGAGCTGTACAACACCAGCAGGTATGTGCACCATTTGCATTCCTCATTGCTCCAGAGGTGCAGCATCCAGACCTCTGTGGTGGTTGGAATGAGATGATCTTTAAGGTCCCTTCCAACCTGAACCATTCTGGGATTCTGTGGTAGGGCAGACTTCCTGGTCTGCAGCTTTCCTGGATGCTTTGAATGCCCCAAGTATTTTACTCCCAGTTAAACGAGTTGGTTGTAATCCCTTAAAGCACCCACCACACAATTAGGGATTTACATGGAAAGTTCCTCACTCCCAGCATTTAGAGAGCTGCCATTCTCCTTAGACAAGCTTGGGAGGCTCCATCACACTCCCTCCACATGTTGGGCTGTTTTCCCCCCTCTTCCCAAGGGATTTTTAACTCTTTGCTTTATTATTTGCAGCCCAAAGTTGGCACAAATAACAAGATCCACCAGGAGAGGAGCCACTGGGTGCTTGTCATGGATGGAGAGTGAGGAAGGACAGAAGGATATCACCTCCTGAGCAAGGTGTGTTACGTGCAAGATCCTCCTAAGATAGCACCTCATGCAGTGCAGTCGTAGGGCACTTCTGTAATGCTGCCAGTGACCCAGGCAGGAAAAAAATGAGTGTTAGAAAAACCACAGAAGAAACCGTTGGCTTGTAAGTGAACACCCTCTGTTTCCTCAGCCAGGCACAAGGGGGTTGATTTTAAACCCCTTCCCGTTTCCATTTGTTAACAAAGGGACTGGGAAACAGCCACTCCTTTGGCAGTGGCCTTTGAGAGGGATTTCAGTCACCAGCACTCACATCCTTGTGACTCAGTGCTTTGTTGGCAATCATGGCAGCACCCTGTAATTAGCACACGTGATTGTCAGAGGTAATTATGTCACAGTGGAGTGGTTACACTTCCAAGGGGTTCCTGCACCCCCAGCATGCCCCCAGGGAACGAGGCAGAGTAGATGATTGATGCAAGAACACAGTGAATCAAAAGCCAGGCTGGCCAGCAGGATTTCCCAAATCCCATTCTGGTGACAAACGGGCCCAAAAAGTGGTTCCCTTGGCAAGGCCACACCGGGCACGTGCTCAGAGCATGGGACTGCAGAGGCCAGGCAGGGCTGTGGGAGGCGCTGCAGAATTCCTGAGCAATGGCACATTCCTTCTGCTGGCCATTCCAGAGTGTGCCGGTGCAGGAAGTCGCATGATGCAACACTCACCTCTCTGCATTGGGCTCTCAGCGCAGCCTCAGTGCCCATGTGACCACTCAGAAAACCCTCAGCTGCTATTTTTAAACTCCACACCTCTGTGGGGAGTTCTTAGGGGAGACCTCTACTCCTACAAAACATAACCAAGGCAGACACACCAACCTGGAGCAGCCTTGCATTTATTGCACAGGGTGTGACCCTCTCTTGGCTGTATAAAGGCTGCAGATTTCAGAGTGCCAATACCCCAATTCACAGAATCCTAATCCCAAATTCACAGAATCCCAGACTGGTCTGTGTTGGAAGGGAGCTTCAAGGTCTCATTCCACCCCCTGCCACGGGCAGGGACACCTTCCACTAGCCCAGGTTGCTCCAAGCCCTGCCCAACCCGGCCTTGGAACTCCCAGGGATGGGGAGGCCAACCTACCCTTCTTCAGCTTTCATTCCCAGTTCAGACTGGGACAATCCCAAACGTGAACACAACCATAATTGTGGTTAATTTTCATTTTATATGGTATCAAAATAAAACTATCTTCCTCAAACAAGAATAAACAAGACCCAAGTGCTCAAAATAGTTTTGAACCAGGGCCTTTAGTCCTTAAATCATCTCCCATCAGAAAACATCCCAGTGAACGCTTTGATCAATGTATGATGGGACTGTAGCAGCCCTCACATCAAACCCTTTCCCACCCTGAGAACAGGATTCAAAATATAGTTTTGCCTCCTAATTAATGACCTCCCAACACTAATGGCCTCCCTTGGCTCTAACACTGACAGCAGCAGCACGTGCAGAGCTCTGAACATGTGAGGAGGAAACCACTGCCAAATTTTTCACAGCAACTGATTCATAACTCCTCATGTCTGTGTCTCTCATCTGGTACCAACACTGACAGCTTCTGATAGTGAGGACTTAAGAAAGGCCAAACCTCAGTGTTGTCCCAAGGAAAAGTGCAAGTTTTTCCAGATCTAAAGAAGGAATTGTTGCTCCATGAGATAAATGCTGTGTCTTAGGGGTTAGTGACTGCACCCCAAGTTTCAGAGGAGGAATATCCTCAATATCCTCTACTCCTCCCTTCCAAAACCTGTTCTCTCACACTAAGAGAGTGGGACTTCAGAAAAGTTATTTCTAACTACAACTGTCATGAGCTTTCCAAGGATAGAAATGCCAATTTTTTTAATGACCCAAGAAATTAACTTCCAGCTCCAGAAAAGTTAAACCATCTCCTAATCAGGCTGGAAACGAGGTATTTAGGTAGGAGACAGGAAGTGCCTCATTCATTTTTCCAGCAGACAGAGCTGTGTCCAAGTGCTCCACTTTGTGTTCATTCTCGTGCTCTTCCACTCTCCAAGTCCTGCCTGAAGGACCCATCAGCCCATCCCCAAAGAAGGGGAACACAGGAATTTCTCTTGCCTGTTCTCAGGCCCTGCCAACTGGAATAATTTTACCCACAAAGTTCTACTTGTTATGTTTAAAATGACATTTATGTTAAGGAAAATCCACTGGCTTTGGGAAAAAAGGGACAGAAGGATGTGAGTGCAGAGCTGCTGACCTCAGAAATACAGAGACAGACCAACCAAGCAACATTATGATAAAGTGTTTATTCATTTTTTTTTTAAATATCAAATTTTCTTTACACATCAATTTTGTTGATAAACAGTCCCCCAATATTTAAAAAAAAAAAAAATCAAAAAAAGAATCAAGTGTGTATTACTTTGGGCAGAACCACATCCCACTGGTGACACACCCACTCTCCTCCCTTCAGCCGCCCGCGGGGCCGCAGCGCGTTCAGCCCACGAGAGTCAACGACACAAATGCAACCAGCTTTAGGATTCCTGAGTATTGATTCCCTCAAGTTCCCTAAGTGAGTCTGTAAAACTCTGAAGCTAAAAAGCATCGACGCGTGA